TACAGATTTTTAATACTGGTGATATATATTGGAACACGGCCTACACTGCATGTGTACATAATACAACTGTAAAGTCTAACCTTTCTAAGGTCCGATTCTACAAATATAAGATTAATTTCAATTACGGTTTATTTTTTTCTCAATTTTAAAATTGGAAAATTTTCCAAAATAAATTTTACATTTGTGGAACCGATCCTAATACACGTCCCTGCTAAGATGGTAATGTAGGAAACGAAATAAAAATATCGATAATTAATCGATCGAATTTCCTGCATGATCATATTAATTCAGAGGGCGTAAGCATCTTATACATTGGAAATAAAAATCTGTAATATCGACCTTGATTAATTTCAGCCTTCGCTCCAGCATCCCCTTAACGGAATAGAAGATGTCGAAAATAACCTTAAAGGAAGCTATCAAAAATCGGCTCGCGGAATCGAGGGGTAATCTGAAGAGAAAAACCAAAGAAAAAATAAGTTCTCTGATGAGGGGATCAGGCTATAAAATATCCACGAAATCCGCGGTTGAAATCTTTGAGTTTCCAATCGATGGTCGAGATAGATCGTCGATAGTATCGTGCAACGTAAACGACGTCAATCGGTCAAAAGAAAATTATCGAGAAGTACCACAGGGAAGAAGAACAAAAAGTGACGAAGAAGAAAAAGAAAATTTGCGCTGCAGGAAGAAAAACGAAAAAACCATCCGCTACGAAACATCGAGTCAAGAAACGCGACGTATATGATATATTCTCTTAATCGAGATAGGAATTCATGGAGAAAAAGCATATCCTTTCTTCATACCCACTCGTGTGAGTGTATAAAAAGCGAACTCGATCTCTTCTCTTTACTTCTTATACAAACCAGTATTGAGAGTTCGCAATGGATTTATTACAAACCCGTAACTTCGCTCGCGGACGACTTGCCCATAGAATTCGTTATACCCGGACATGGAGAAGATTATCTCTATATGGATCTCACTCACACCATGTTGAGCCTTCGCATACGCGTAGAAAGCGAACGCGGGGAGAGCACATCGTCCGCACTCGACGTCGCGGCAAGAGTAGGCCCCGTAAATCATTTACTGCATTTCATGTTCAACCAAATCGACGTATATTTCAATCAAATACTCGTGTCGCCATCAAACAACGCTTACGTTTACGCGTACATCGAGGCGTTATTAAATTATGCTTCACCTGCAAAAACTTCCAACCTAACCTCTTGCTTATGGGACGCGGATATTCCCGGTTATATGGACGACACGTTAGACTCGTCAAATCCAAATACGGCGCTCGAGAGACATGGGCAATACATTCGAGGAAATCGTGCACTAGATCTCATAGGGCACCTTTACTGTGACGTTTTCAATCAAGATAAATTTTTAATTAACGGAAGTTAGAATGAGGCTTGTTTGAGATCGGTAATTCAAAAAAAAAGGTAAGAATTCCTTCGGTCGACCGACAGTAATTGTTATTGAACGCACTCACAAGGCGAGCTCGTGATTTCATCTCGAGCCTGACTTTAAGCCTCATCAAAGTCAGAGATTCATTGTTCTGTAGTCTTTTCAAAACAATTCGGTACACGCAAACAGGCACCGGCAACGGACCATCGAAAGTTCTAGAACAATTCAATTCGCGCACGCGAGCGCCGCGCTCCGACGAATACGTCACGCGCTGTCACCAATCCCGCGTACGGATTTTCTGTCGCGCATGACTGTTACGTTGAACGTCGCTAGAAAAGAATCAAGAGCGCCAATCAATTTTGTACAACCAATGCCACGTGATAATTACGATTGTGGCTAAATTTAATTGGATTTCTCCCAAGAAGAAAGCCCGGACTGGAAGCAATAAATGCTTCGATCTCGCCGGTCCTCAGGGCAGATTGCGCAGATTGCTTAGATAGTTTACATCGCTTATACCGTCTACACCGCTTAGAGTTCTTAGACTTCTTAGAGTTCTTACTTCTAAAAGTTCTTCGAGTTCTTAGAATCATAGTCTCGCTACTATACCGCTTCGTGAAATCGCCGTGCTAACCGCTTAGTGAAATCGCGATAAAACAAATCTTTCCGAGAAAATCGCCGAGATTTTCCATCACTGCGATTCCGAATACAATTTTGGAAACGGTGGCTGCATTTGATATTTTGTTAATCTAATATTTAATTAATTACATTTTTTGACTCTGTAACTGATTATATTAAAGAAAATTCTTTTGTTAAATTAAATGAAACGGAGTTTCTCTTCACTGTCGTGCATCACATCACCTTGTGCCGTTCTCTCACTCGAATCTTTCCGCGCGGTGCATTCTCGCACAAGGCTCATACGTTCGAAAGATTCATTTTGCCTTGGAGAATAAAACGATATCAAAAATACGTATTCTCGATGCCAGTTTATTTATAAGAAGAGCAAAAATAAGCCCAGGTGTGCTGCTCGCACACGCTAGAATGCTGAATAAAACTACCGCCAAGTATCCCCTTACGAGAGTCGAAGTTACGAAGTTAAAACTTTCACGATACACATCGGCGATAGTGAGGGAATCGATAGACAATGCAATACTCGGACAGCTGCCAAAATCAATAATAGTCGGCTTTATCGATAACAAGACGTTTAACAGCGATAGAAAATTGAATTCGTTTAATTTCAAAATTACGTATAAATTTCTCTACGCTAATGGCAAATTCCCAGGTCGTTACAGCCAAATTTTTCGAAAGACGAGCCGCTCTACGTTGAAGCTTATCACACATTATATCTCGGGAACCGGCATTCACTTTCTGAATGAGGGTGATTCTATAAGTAGAGACGATTACGCCAACGGCTACACATTTTTCGCTTTCGATCTTACTCTAGATCTATCCGCTAATTGTGCAGGGCATTGAAATCTCGTGAAACACGGAAGCTCACGATTAGAAGTGAGATTCGAAAAAGCTCTTTCTGTGACTTTAATTGTATCGTTTATGCCAAATTCGATAACATTTTAGAAATCGATTCCTCACGTCAAGTCATTGTTGACTTTTCCGGTTAGTCTATGGTTTCCGGAGAAAATTATTTTCCCCCACTACACATTTTTTCTCATCTAATTGCCTGTAAGATGACAAAAAAACTTCAATCTTGCACATGATACCGGCGCAGACGGGACGTAAAGAGTAGCGAAAATTCAAATATTATAATGGATATCATCAACATACAAGGTTTTCGCGATGTCGAAGAAAACTTTATTCCGAAAGAAGTCGCGGTTCTTGCAATTAATACAACGATCATCGGACACTGGATTATGATGCCGCCATTTGGCCATTTACCCGAGAAATTAAGACAAGAAAAGAACTGGCTTACACAAAATTATCACGGAATCGAATGGTTCGACGAAAACGTCAATCCTAAATACTTTACGATACAAATGCGAGACATTACATGCCACGCACGCTACATCTATAGTAGAGGATAAGAGAAGGTGCGCTATCTGAGTAATCTATTCTCCAGAAACGTATATAATCTGGAAGGAATTTCTTCGGCTTTCAAAAATTTATCAGATTCGAAGAACGTGGACAGCGCTGTACGCATTATGAATTTCGAACCAATGTTGAATCACATTGCGCCTTACGTAACGCTTATAAATTGAAACGTTGGCTAAACAGCAGCAATTCGAGCTACGATAGTCTTCCCTCAGAAAATTGGAGCAAAAGCGACGTCGAGAGCGAAAAAACAAACAGCGGAAATTTTTCAATTCAATTTAAAAATCAGAAACACGATATCATTTGCAAAAAAAACATTGAAGCATGGAGGAAAAATATCGCGACAGAAAAGTAGAACCAAAGCGAGGGCTAACAAGCGACAGGCGAGGAGAAAAAAGATCTTCCAAAATTCGTTCCGTCGACGGATAGAGATAAAGCTAACACTAGCGTTTCGCAAACGTCAAATTTTGAAAACTCTCTAACGCATGTATCGGCAAAAAAGGTAAATTCTGAATTTGCACAAACATTTCCTCTTTCACGCATTCCGACAACGAGAAATGAATTCATTGAAAGTTTTAAATGCATTACATCATCTCAGTGTTCGACATGCAGGAGTCTATCCTGCCAACCGACTGCCGAGGGTGTGAACGAAGTCGATTGCCATTGTCGCTAACACAGACGATCGACCTGGCTAGCACTGGGTCGCCTTCTACATCGACGAATACAGAAAAATGTTTCAATAGCTACGGCTTGCTGCCCTTGACTCAAGATTCCTCTTACGCCGAAACTTCATCACGTATCGCTAGAATACGACGACGCTGCAAAGAATACTTTCATAAACTTGCGGATAATACTGCTGTGTATTTCTATATTTTATGTGTAATGGTTATAATCTTAGCCAATTTCTTAGTCTGTTTACCTCTTATTGTAAACGCGATGACCAATTGATCGTACAGTTATTTTATAAATTTTTTCTTCGTTGTAAACATAAAAAAATAAATTCTCATGCTATATGCCGTCATGTTCAATCGTCTACTCTTTTAAAAAATAAAATATAAAACAAACATTTTATATAATATTACTTTTTTTTTTAAATAAACGTTTTTGATCTTGTAAATTTCATCTGTTTCTTACATCTAACCTCGTCCCCTTTTACATTAGTCATCTTTTTTCATATTCTAGATTCAGATAATGTTCATTAAAAACAAAATATAAAAAAATTTATCTTTTAAAATAATGCTCGAATCATCGCACCGATTACGTCGCGTGTCGACGCGAACTTGTTTATTCCTGTTTTACCTCCTCTTTCTCCTTAATGCAAGCAAAAGTCTCCCGAAAACACTCATAAAAGTAGTCATAAATAAGAAAAATCTTTTCGCTAAAACGTCAGTATGCCGGAAACATTGAGCTGCTGCAGCAAAAAATGATCTTCAGAACAAAAAACTGTGCGCTGTTCATATCCCTTGCCTATACCTCCCTTCTCCCCCCGTAATGAAAAAATATCTCGGTCCCCATTTTCCTCGATGTCATGGTATCCTTGGCGACACTCCCGCTCTTCTTCAGTCATCATGTGGACGACTATGTACAGAGCCAATCAACGTGTGGGCAACTATGGACCGGGCCCATCAAAACGCACCATATAATTACCTCATTACTCACACTCTCGCGTCACTAACCAATCAGAGCGCACCATTTCCCAGGTCAAGCCCCAGCGCCGGAGATAAAGTGATAGAGGTTTGTTTTGGCCTATGGGCTGCTCATATACTACATTGGTAAACACTTCAATTCATTCCATTCTAAATGAAAATTTACAACTGAAATAGGTAGAGACAAGTTAGATTTTCTGGATGTCAGTTTAATTAAAAAGGGAAATTCTATTGTTCAGAATTGGTACCACAATCCTATTTTTTCTGGTCGTTATCTTAAATATTTTTCCAGACATCCTTTATGCCAAAAAGTGGGAACAATCGTCGGTTTAATTGATAGAGTTCTTTCTTTGTTCCACCCTATTTATCATCAAGAAAATTTTGAATTAATTATTAAAATTCTTTTAAACAATGGATATTCACTGAAACTCATATTCTCTGAAATAAAAAATAGGTTATCAAAAAAAATTTAAACAATGGAATGAACAGGGTAACATACCTACAAACAAAATAACGGACAATAATGAAGACAAAATTAACCACAAGTTTTTCACAATCTCCTTTATACTACATTTACCAGAAAAGATGAAAAAATTTTTTGAAAAGAACGCCTTAAGGGGATGCTGGAGTGTCCTGTTTTATCATTAAATTTTAAAAACGCCTTTCTCGTAACTGAGTTTATGGATTGAAAAATCCTTCTCCACAATTAAAGTATCGACAACAACGCAAGTCGCCAGCTACATTTGAATACGAAAAACGAAAGAAAATTAAAGACTTACAGTTTTGTTATCGGCTTCTGTAGTCAACACATCACAATATGTATTGCATATAAGAGTTTCAGATCTTGCACGTTCATGAAAAGTAGCTGGCGAATTGCGGAAAACCGAAACGAACAATCCTATGCTTTTAGAAACGCGATAGGAGTTTTAGTATAAAGGCGTGTACAAAAATTTCGTTTGTATATTACGAGTGAAATTGACGTGTAGCCATGAAACTGAGCAGTATTTTAGTTCCGCGATATTCCGACAGCGGCGCTGTCATGAAAAGTGCGTCGCTGAACCATAGAAATGATCTGAATTATCGACCTACTCAGGCCCATATCAATCAAAACGTGCCCTGGTCAAAGTTTTTTCTTTTGAGAGGAAAAATAATAAAATAAATATGATATTAGTTATTTCAATTTTGTTGAAATAATTTCTTCCTAAACAAGAAACATACCATATTATTTACATATGAATACAAATGAAGATAATTATTTTAATTACACTGTTCTGTCTTTTACATACATTTTATTTAGTAAATTATTGA